GTTATTATACTCCGATAAGAGCGTTATTATACTCCGATAAGAGTTATTATACTCCGATAACAGAGTTATTATACTCCGATAAGAGCATTATTATACTCCGAAAAGAGTTATTATACTCCGATAAGAGAGTTATTATACTCCGATAAGAGTTATTATACTCCGATAAGAGCGTTATTATACTCCGATAAGAGTTATTATACTCCGATAAGAGCGTTATTATACTCCGATAAGAGTTATTATACTCCGATAAGAGCGTTATTATACTCCGATAAGAGAGTTATTTTACTCCGATAAGAGCGTTATTATACTCCGATAAGAGTTATTATACTCCGATAAGAGAGTTATTATACTCCGATAAGAGCGTTATTATACTCCGATAAGAGTTATTATACTCCGATAAGAGCGTTATCGTCATTCTCTGATACTGTGATCATAATGTATCGGTTTCCATGTTAGCTGTCCTGAAGTGAGGAGTTGTATGTACACGTACTGAAACACAACTTGACATGAAACGTATTTGAATGGTTTTTAAATATACAATCAGTGGTGCTCTGTTTATGTGGAAGAGTATGTGAATAATGCTAGTTATATGATGAGATGAAAGAGAGCTTTGATGATTATGAACAGGATCCAGCTGAATGAATTATTACACTGACGGCTGTGTGTAAATGTCTCCCGAAGGGTCCGCAGGTCATTCTCCTCCCACGCCTCACAGACCGGCTGTATCTGTGTCCGAGGAGCAGCAGCGCTTCTCCAGAATGCACAACCCCGAGGCCATCGCCCAGGCCAAAGGAGCCGGCACTGGAGGAAAGTCCAACCTCGCAGGCCAGATCATCCCCATCTACGGCTTCGGCATCTTACTGTACATCCTCTACATTCTGTTCAAGGTGAGACGGCGCTCCTGCATTTCAGACGCTTCAGCCGAGGCTCAGGTGACATGTGTTTGTCAAGTCAGGTCACCGTTATTTATATAGCGCTTTTTACAATGCAGATTGTGTCAAAGCAGCTTTACAGTATTAAAATAGGAAAACAGTGTGCCGTTCTCCTCTGGCCAGACGAAACCAGCAGTTCAGTTCCAGGCTGCAGCAGAGTCAGATTGTGCAGAGGACTCATCTGGTTCCTGTGGTCTTGTCCCGGTGGCCGTCTGAGACAAGGTCTTTACAAGGGATCTGTCTCTGGGGCTCATCTAGTTGTCCTGATCTCCACTGTCTTTCAGGGCTGTAGAGGTCCTCTCTAGGTGCTGATCCACCATCTGGTCTGGATACGTACTGGATCCGGGTGACTGCAGTGACCATCTGATCTGGATACAGTCTGGATCTGGTGGCTACGGTGACCTCGGAATAAGAAAGAAACAAAATTAGCATAGATGCATTTCTTCTTACGATGTAACAAGTACCCGCAGTTGATTTTGATATTCTAGGCATTATCAAGTTTTGAGTTTTGAGATCGTAGCGGACATGAAGGACTATAATCAGGCCCGGTTCTACAGGGGTGCTAAGCTAGATAGATAGATTAAGGTTACAGCACCCTCACTAATTTAACAAGCATCCTCAGTGATTGGATTCTGAAGAGCTCGTTCAAATACTGAGGTGCTAAACCATTCAGGGCTTTATAAGTAATAAGCAAGATTTTAAAATATATACGATGTTTAATAGGGAGCCAGTGCAGTGTTGACAGAACCGGGCTAATATGGTCATACTTCCTGGTTCTAGTAAGAACTCTAGCTGCTGCATTTTGGACCAGCTGGAGTTTGAATGGCGGTCATACAAGTACGATTTGAAACATGCTAATGCATTTCCATTAATGCCAACAAAGTTTTCTAGTCTATTCAAAAGAATGTTGTGGTCAATAGTGTCGAAAGCAGCGCTAAGGTCCAATAGCACTAATAGAGAGATACAACCACAATCAGATGATAAGAGCAGGTCATTTGTAACTCTAATGAGAGCAGTCTCAGTACTATGATACGGTCTAAATCCTGACTGGAAATCCTCACAGATACCATTTTTCTCTAAGAAGTGCGTGAGTGTGTCGGACTGTTTTCCTTAATCTTCCTTAAGCGTAAAGGAGCAACTGTATCTAAAATGCTAGAAAAGAGAGAGTCCATAGTTTCTGTTACATCATCAAGTTGTTCTGAGGTTTTGGATATGCTAAGGAATTGAGATAAATCAGGAAGATTACTTACAAAGCAGTCTTTTGTGGTAGAAGTTCTACCATATTTGTAACTAGGAGTTTGTTTGTGTCTGTTAAAGATCACTTCCAAAGGCAAAACAACCAAACCTCCAGAGAGCCGATTCGCTGCAGTCAGATCCGAAAACATGAAGAGGAAAATAAGTACGAACACGAACACACAACCTGGACACTGTGTCACTTTTAAACAGCTTTACATTGATGATCTGCTGTTTCTGTGTGTGTTGAGTAACAGATCTGTCTCTCTCTCAGCTGATTTTGAGTTGGCTCAGCTGCAGGACAGACTGAATGAGACAAAGGACGTGATCGAGAGGATAATTTCTGCAGCCAGTGCTGGCTCTGACAGGTGTGCATCTCTCTCGCTCTGTGTGTGTGTGTGTTTTCATGTGACGTGACGTGAGCGTGTGGCGTGTGTGTTGGCAGTGTGGCAGGAGCGGTGGCCGTGGATGAGGAGCAGAAGCTGCTGCATCAGCTGCAGGAGATCACTCGCATCATGCAGGAGGGCCGCTTCGTGGACACCATCCCAGCAGACGCCCACGGCTCCGGTGAGATGCACACATCACTTCATGTTATGCTCGGAAACCACTGACACATCCTCGCAGCCTTTAATCACGAATGAAGCATTTTATTTTCACAGATCTTCCTGACAACGGTGGGAAAGACCATTTCTGTTGTGTTCATTCACCTCCCGTGAGCACAAATGTTCAGATGAGAGAGAGCCATGATCCTGAGAGGACAGATGTCAACACAAACACAAAAATGGAGGACCTGTCTTTGAGTGACTCCACCAGCCAATCACAGCCAGAGGCAGACACTCAAACAGGAAGTGACATCACACCCAGCTCAGTGTCAGAACACAGCGTCATCAGGCAGAGAAACAAACAATGAACCATCTAAATAATAACCATGCTTGGCGTTATTGAATATGGGTTTGCTGCATGGACACTTTCACCTTACATTGAGCGCTAGCTGTCTCTCAGTGGACATGTTTGAGACTCACAGGAAGGAGCAGCTGTGTCAACATATCACACGAGTATGAATGATCAATATCCTGTCTATTGTACAGGAACCTCAGCCTGTGTTCGTAATGTGAACAACATGCAGAGTTCTTGTGTTCAGAAAACATTTTAGCTGCAGGACGTTTCTACTGAGCCGCTGCATTCAGCACAAAACTTCTGATCATCCTGTCAACTGCAGAATCAAATATTATATACTCTATATTTACATAAAATTCATCACCTAAAGAAAACAACTTGTAATGTACCACAAACTCATTTAACAGGTCTGAAGTAAACGTTTTTCTTTGTTCATTTTCAGAGTTTTCACATGATTACCGAAACCTCCGACTGTAAATCCGTTTAGTTTTGCTTCTGTGCAGTAAACATTGTGATTGATGCTTTTATTGTTTTTGATTAATTTATATTCTTTTCATACTTGCATGTTTGCGTGTCATTGACTGCTGTATTTTGTGTTAATAAAACACCACAAGCACACACCTGCTGTTTATTTCTTTGGTTCTCCATCCAGCGACTTGCATCTTCATTAGTTATTGAGAGTTCATCAGTGAGCGGATGATGGATACAGCGATACTGAACTCCCAGCTGTGTCCCCTCATATGAAAACATGAGCTGATATGAAGATCTCTGGTCTGTCATGAACTCTTTCACAACACATCTGCATTGTGTCGTGCACCTGAGCTTAAGAGTGGTTTTCAAAACATTCATTTCCATAAAGACCTCGGGGGGTTTTTCCTGCTTTACAGAGGCTCTATTCTCGATCTTAATAGCAGGTGTAAACAGGGCTGTAATGGAATAAAACTTAACTGTGTGGAAGAGTAGACCTGTTGTTCTCAAACTGAGCTCTGGCATAATTTATGTGGACATTCCCGTGCCATTGACTCGATCCCAGAGGCTTACTGCAGCAGAACACAATTCCTGCTCCATCAGTAAAATCGACTTTGTCATTTATTTGTTACTAATCTCATTCTGATCACCACTTGCTTCTAACCTTTAAATGCAAGAACTGACGGGGTCTTCAGATCTGTGGAGGGTATTATACTCTGGTAACTTGATCTGCTTGCTCATTGATTTCATATCGTGCCTGTCAGTCTGCCAGACACAAAGACCAGAGTTGGGAGTAAGGCCAGTTTCAAGTAATTACTTTGAGTTGCTTTTTCAAATAAGTAATGCTAGTTCAGTTGCTTAATTTTCCATGAATTGACTGACAGCATGTTGAGAATTCAGGAGTAAGTGCCGAGGCGCTGTGGAAATAAATCCCACTTTATTAACTAATGTCTTTGCTGCTGTCCTTTAATGATCCAATTCAACTAAACATTTAAAGAGGATCTAAACCTTTCATCAAATTTCTTCAAACCAAATACTGGTCTTAGGACAACTTTGATTAACTTTTTTGATCCACTTCAAATGTTGACTACTGTAGTAAACAACTGGTAATTAATTCTAGTAAGTAATACATAACATTTGTATTTTTTATTGTATTGTTATTACTGAAGAATGTTAACTTTCTTCTCCTGCATCCTATTCTTCATGCAATCCAGATCAGCAGCACAGCTCAAAGCTTCTGTACAGACGGGAATAGACATGTCCTTCAGCCTTTCACTTTGACAGTAAGTATACCCAGCCCAGATAAAAAAAAGTTAACGCATTACTTTCCAAAATAGTAACTACATAACAATTAAGTTCCTTTTTTAGGGAGTAACACAATAATGCATTACTTTTAAAAGTAACTTTCCCCAACACTGCCAATCACAACTGCTCATAATCAATGACAGTTCACTAAATATTCTAGAAGGGTCCAGCAATTTAGTCATATTAATGAAATTACAGACAATCCAACCAATCACTTATTTTTGAAAAATGTATTTCCACTTTCTACTATAGGCAAAGAAGGGCTTAGGGTGATGAACATGAAACATGTTTAAGGAGCAGAGAAGCTTCAAACAGACTGTGGTCATGTCAGTCTGATCGAGAGTGAAATGGGTATCAGGACTTGGAGGGTAATTATTAAATAATATCACTGCTGTACAGTCTCCATGAAAAAGCACAAAAACACTCAGAAAGAAACAAAGACAGATTTATTGCTCTTAAACTCAGAGATAGAAAAAGGTTTAAATGTTACAGGTTTGTGTGAGGCAGAGAAGCTGCAGTCAGAGCTGGAGAGGCACGTGTTAGTGCTCCATGGCTTCATCAGGTACAGCTGGAGCCGCTTCATCAGCCGGCTGGGCCACCTGCGGTCCACAAACAATATCAGCACATCACTCACGCTCAGAAACCTGCAGACACCTGGAATAACCCTCACCCGTCTCTGTGGCCGCTCCTCCAGACCCTCCAGGAACCGCGCCACAGCATCGTCGTCATAGATGCTGAACTCCATGTCCTTCCCCACAATCCCAACAGACACGTTCTAGAGGAAAGGAGCAGTCAGTAGTGTCACAGCGGTAATGAGCACAAGACGTTCTAGAGGAAAGGAGCGGTCAGCACGTTCTAGAGGAAAGGAGCGTCCAGCAGTGTCACAGTGGTAATGAGCACAAGACGTTCTAGAGGAAAGGAACAGTCAGCACGTTCTAGAGGAAAGGAGCGGTCAGCATTGTCACAGAGGTAATGAGCACAACACGTTCTAGAGGAAAGGAGCGGTCAGCACGTTCTAGAGAAAAGGAGCGGTCAGCAGTGTCACAGCGGTAATGTGCGCAACACGTTCTAGAGGACAGGAGCGGTCAGTCGTGTCACAGCGGTAATGTGCGCAACAAGTTCTAGAGGAAAGGATCGGTCAGTAGTGTCACAGTGGTAATGTGCGCAACACGTTCTAGAGGAAAGGAGCATTCAGCAGCGTCACAGCGGTAATGAGCGCAACACATTCTAGTGGAAAAGATCGGTCAGTAGTGTCACAGCGGTAATGAGCGCAACACGTTCTAGAGGAAAAGAGCGGTCAGTAGTGTCACAGCGGTAATGAGCGCAACACGTTCTAGAGGAAAAGAGCGGTCAGTAGTGTCACAGCGGTAATGAGCGCAACACGTTCTAGAGGAAAAGAGCGGTCAGTAGTGTCACAGCGGTAATGAGCGCAACACGTTCTAGAGGAAAAGAGCGGTCAGTAGTGTCACAGCGGTAATGAGCGCAACACGTTCTAGAGGAAAAGAGCGGTCAGTAGTGTCACAGCGGTAATGAGCGCAACACGTTCTAGAGGAAAAGAGCGGTCAGTAGTGTCACAGCGGTAATGAGCGCAACACGTTCTAGAGGAAAAGAGCGGTCAGTAGTGTCACAGCGGTAATGAGCGCAACACGTTCTAGAGGAAAAGAGCGGTCAGTAGTGTCACAGCGGTAATGAGCGCAACACGTTCTAGAGGAAAAGAGCGGTCAGTAGTGTCACAGCGGTAATGAGCGCAACACGTTCTAGAGGAAAAGAGCGGTCAGTAGTGTCACAGCGGTAATGAGCGCAACACGTTCTAGAGGAAAAGAGCGGTCAGTAGTGTCACAGCGGTAATGAGCGCAACACGTTCTAGAGGAAAAGAGCGGTCAGTAGTGTCACAGCGGTAATGAGCGCAACACGTTCTAGAGGAAAAGAGCGGTCAGTAGTGTCACAGCGGTAATGAGCGCAACACGTTCTAGAGGAAAAGAGCGGTCAGTAGTGTCACAGCGGTAATGAGCGCAACACGTTCTAGAGGAAAAGAGCGGTCAGTAGTGTCACAGCGGTAATGAGCGCAACACGTTCTAGAGGAAAAGAGCGGTCAGTAGTGTCACAGCGGTAATGAGCGCAACACGTTCTAGAGGAAAAGAGCGGTCAGTAGTGTCACAGCGGTAATGAGCGCAACACGTTCTAGAGGAAAAGAGCGGTCAGTAGTGTCACAGCGGTAATGAGCGCAACACGTTCTAGAGGAAAAGAGCGGTCAGTAGTGTCACAGCGGTAATGAGCGCAACACGTTCTAGAGGAAAAGAGCGGTCAGTAGTGTCACAGCGGTAATGAGCGCAACACGTTCTAGAGGAAAAGAGCGGTCAGTAGTGTCACAGCGGTAATGAGCGCAACACGTTCTAGAGGAAAAGAGCGGTCAGTAGTGTCACAGCGGTAATGAGCGCAACACGTTCTAGAGGAAAAGAGCGGTCAGTAGTGTCACAGCGGTAATGAGCGCAACACGTTCTAGAGGAAAAGAGCGGTCAGTAGTGTCACAGCGGTAATGAGCGCAACACGTTCTAGAGGAAAAGAGCGGTCAGTAGTGTCACAGCGGTAATGAGCGCAACACGTTCTAGAGGAAAAGAGCGGTCAGTAGTGTCACAGCGGTAATGAGCGCAACACGTTCTAGAGGAAAAGAGCGGTCAGTAGTGTCACAGCGGTAATGAGCGCAACACGTTCTAGAGGAAAAGAGCGGTCAGTAGTGTCACAGCGGTAATGAGCGCAACACGTTCTAGAGGAAAAGAGCGGTCAGTAGTGTCACAGCGGTAATGAGCGCAACACGTTCTAGAGGAAAAGAGCGGTCAGTAGTGTCACAGCGGTAATGAGCGCAACACGTTCTAGAGGAAAAGAGCGGTCAGTAGTGTCACAGCGGTAATGAGCGCAACACGTTCTAGAGGAAAAGAGCGGTCAGTAGTGTCACAGCGGTAATGAGCGCAACACGTTCTAGAGGAAAGGAGCGGTCAGCACGTTCTAGAGAAAAGGAGCGGTCAGCAGTGTCACAGCGGTAATGTGCGCAACACGTTCTAGAGGAAAGGAGCATTCAGCAGCGTCACAGCGGTAATGAGCGCAACACATTCTAGTGGAAAAGATCGGTCAGTAGTGTCACAGCGGTAATGAGCGCAACACGTTCTAAGAGGAAAGGAGCAGTCAGCACGTTCTAGAGGAAAGGAGCGGTCAGCGCGTTCTAGTAGAAAGGAGTTGTCAGCAGTGTCACAGCGTTAATGAGCACAACACGTTCTAGAGGAAAGGAGCGGTCAGTAGTGTCAGAACGGTAACGAGCGCAACACGTTCTAGAGGAAAGGAGCAGTCAGCACGTTCTAGAGGAAAGGAGCAGTCAGCAGTGTCACAGCGGTAATGAGCACAAGTACAGCGACCGGATGAAGGGTCAAACCTTTGTGGTCAGATCCTGTTCAGCAGGAAGAGTCTCGCGCAGCGCACGCAGACCGTGCTGCACCAGATCATTCAGATTACCTGCAGACAAGAACAGAACTGCGCTCAGACAACCTCTTCACGTAAATGCATGCTTGATTGTACTGAGTGTACTAGTGCTGAACAGAAACTGTGCTGACTTTTAGTGTACTTCAAATCTTACATTTTAACCATATTTAAAAGATAATTAAATTACCTGTGTCTTACCTCAGTGGGTCAAAAAGCATTCTGAAGTTCAGCTAACTGCATTTAATATAAATGTAAGCTATGGTACATTTTCATTTATTTGTAATCATTGTGTTTTTACAAGTACAAATATGCATTAGCTTAAAAACTGCCTGCATAATCATAAAAAGAGAGAAAACCACAGTTTAGAATAGTTTTGGACAAGTTTAAGGTGTGATCTACTGTGTTCACAGTGTAAAGTGTTTGCTGATAACACACAATCCAGGAAGGCCTCCATGTGTCTCTCGAGGTACGTGCGAGCCGACTGCGAGCGAGCGCCGATCGACATGGCCTTACAGTCGAAGTAATTAGCTGAGGGACATGTCTGGAAGATGTGCGGCCCCATGTCCTAAAGTCACAAAAACAGCAAGACTCCATCACTGAACACACCACTGAACACACACACACGCTCTGTGATCTCAGCACTCACATCATATCCTGCGATCAGTAGCCCCACTCCATAAGGCCGTCTGCCGTAGCGCTGCGTGGGAACCTGGGTCTCTGAGGGAACATGTGCTCAGGAAACATAGCAGACGGGATGCAAAGTGGCTTTTGCAGCTCTCCAGAGCGACAGGCTAAAAGGATACTGCTTCCGATGAGCGAGACCAGTCGAGACACAGGAAGAGGTCTATCGAAGACAAACCTAGAGTCCAGACACTCCTGCCGCATGAAGTTGCTTTTCAGAAAGAGACAGGCAAGTGAGACACTGATGAGCACAAGCACATTCAAGAACCTGGATAAAAACAAGGCTGTGATCGCCAGCTGGACACTGATGCTGGACAGTGATTTCCATGACACGGAAAATGTGAACTGCGGAACCCAGTCATAAAAACGGAATTTACTATATAATGCAGAACGCCATGGAATTTGGAAAATCTTACTACACAAATACTGAAGCTCTGCCGCCTTAATATAGGAGTACATTGCTCATGAAGTGGCAGTTCTAGAGATTGTTCATGTGTTACTGAACGCTTCTTTTCTAGAGAAAAACTATCATGTCATATACAAACAGAAACCTAGGTCTTCACAACAACCCAGCAAAACAAAAATTCTGTTTAACTTGAAGAAAGTGTGACGGAAACATTACTTGGTACTACTACTAAAATTATTATTAAACATTATTTTTTAAAGGAATATAAACCAGAAAAATTATTTACCAGAATTTATTTAGCAGAAAAAAAGCAAATAAACAACATAGTATTTATGGGGGAAAAAATTATATATTTCTTATTAAATCAGTTAATTAGAGATGCTTTTGATTATTAAAAGTCAATGAAACCATTAAAATGGAATCCAGAAAACAGAATTTGGTAGCAATAAATTTAATTGTAAGTTTCGTGATTTCAATTAATTACACATGATTTTTGATCAATAAGACTGTATTTAACCATTAAAACAGAGTCTACAAATATTAACAGTGATTAACGGAAAAACGGAATTTGGAAAGAAATATAATGGATTTTATCAGGCCCTAAATCAGTATGTTGTTAAATAAGAGCAGAATGTATTTGAGGCCTTGCAGCCTGTTTTCATCAGAATGTGAGTAGATCTGTACGAAACGCTGGCTCGTGATTTACCAGAGCAGTCTGGCGTCGGCCGTCAGTCCTGCGATGGAGATGCCCACGTGACTGTCCACGTTCAGGACCTTCTTCTGATGAGCAGCCAGCTCAGACTGAGCTCTCTGCAAACACACAGGTTTCTGAAGCTCATGTCAAGCACTCACACGACTCAGACCGAGCTCTCTGCAAACACACAGGTTTCTGAAGCTCACGTCAAGCACACACGTGACTCAGACTGAGCTCTCTGCAAACACACAGGTTTCTGAAGCTCACGTCAAGCACACACGTGACTCAGACTGAGCTCTCTGCAAACACACAGGTTTCTGAAGCTCACGTCAAGCACACACGTGACTCAGACTGAGCTCTCTGCAAACACACAGGTTTCTGAAGCTCACGTCAAGCACACACGTGACTCAGACTGAGCTCTCTGCAAACACACAGGTTTCTGAAGCTCACGTCAAGCACACACGTGACTCAGACTGAGCTCTCTGCAAACACACAGGTTTCTGAAGCTCACGTCAAGCACACACGTGACTCAGACTGAGCTCTCTGCAAACACACAGGTTTCTGAAGCTCACGTCAAGCACACACGTGACTCAGACTGAGCTCTCTGCAAACACACAGGTTTCTGAAGCTCACGTCAAGCACACACGTGACTCAGACTGAGCTCTCTGCAAACACACAGGTTTCTGAAGCTCACGTCAAGCACACACGTGACTCAGACTGAGCTCTCTGCAAACACACAGGTTTCTGAAGCTCACGTCAAGCACACACGTGACTCAGACTGAGCTCTCTGCAAACACACAGGTTTCTGAAGCTCACGTCAAGCACACACGTGACTCAGACTGAGCTCTCTGCAAACACACAGGTTTCTGAAGCTCACGTCAAGCACACACGTGACTCAGACTGAGCTCTCTGCAAACACACAGGTTTCTGAAGCTCACGTCAAGCACACACGTGACTCAGACTGAGCTCTCTGCAAACACACAGGTTTCTGAAGCTCACGTCAAGCACACACGTGACTCAGACTGAGCTCTCTGCAAACACACAGGTTTCTGAAGCTCACGTCAAGCACACACGTGACTCAGACTGAGCTCTCTGCAAACACACAGGTTTCTGAAGCTCACGTCAAGCACACACGTGACTCAGACTGAGCTCTCTGCAAACACACAGGTTTCTGAAGCTCACGTCAAGCACACACGTGACTCAGACTGAGCTCTCTGCAAACACACAGGTTTCTGAAGCTCACGTCAAGCACACACGTGACTCAGACTGAGCTCTCTGCAAACACACAGGTTTCTGAAGCTCACGTCAAGCACACACGTGACTCAGACTGAGCTCTCTGCAAACACACAGGTTTCTGAAGCTCACGTCAAGCACACACGTGACTCAGACTGAGCTCTCTGCAAACACACAGGTTTCTGAAGCTCACGTCAAGCACACACGTGACTCAGACTGAGCTCTCTGCAAACACACAGGTTTCTGAAGCTCACGTCAAGCACACACGTGACTCAGACTGAGCTCTCTGCAAACACACAGGTTTCTGAAGCTCACGTCAAGCACACACGTGACTCAGACTGAGCTCTCTGCAAACACACAGGTTTCTGAAGCTCACGTCAAGCACACACGTGACTCAGACTGAGCTCTCTGCAAACACACAGGTTTCTGAAGCTCACGTCAAGCACACACGTGACTCAGACTGAGCTCTCTGCAAACACACAGGTTTCTGAAGCTCACGTCAAGCACACACGTGACTCAGACTGAGCTCTCTGCAAACACACAGGTTTCTGAAGCTCACGTCAAGCACACACGTGACTCAGACTGAGCTCTCTGCAAACACACAGGTTTCTGAAGCTCACGTCAAGCACACACGTGACTCAGACTGAGCTCTCTGCAAACACACAGGTTTCTGAAGCTCACGTCAAGCACACACGTGACTCAGACTGAGCTCTCTGCAAACACACAGGTTTCTGAAGCTCACGTCAAGCACACACGTGACTCAGACTGAGCTCTCTGCAAACACACAGGTTTCTGAAGCTCACGTCAAGCACACACGTGACTCAGACTGAGCTCTCTGCAAACACACAGGTTTCTGAAGCTCACGTCAAGCACACACGTGACTCAGACTGAGCTCTCTGCAAACACACAGGTTTCTGAAGCTCACGTCAAGCACACACGTGACTCAGACTGAGCTCTCTGCAAACACACAGGTTTCTGAAGCTCACGTCAAGCACACACGTGACTCAGACTGAGCTCTCTGCAAACACACAGGTTTCTGAAGCTCACGTCAAGCACACACGTGACTCAGACTGAGCTCTCTGCAAACACACAGGTTTCTGAAGCTCACGTCAAGCACACACGTGACTCAGACTGAGCTCTCTGCAAACACACAGGTTTCTGAAGCTCACGTCAAGCACACACGTGACTCAGACTGAGCTCTCTGCAAACACACAGGTTTCTGAAGCTCACGTCAAGCACACACGTGACTCAGACTGAGCTCTCTGCAAACACACAGGTTTCTGAAGCTCACGTCAAGCACACACGTGACTCAGACTGAGCTCTCTGCAAACACACAGGTTTCTGAAGCTCACGTCAAGCACACACGTGACTCAGACTGAGCTCTCTGCAAACACACAGGTTTCTGAAGCTCACGTCAAGCACACACGTGACTCAGACTGAGCTCTCTGCAAACACACAGGTTTCTGAAGCTCACGTCAAGCACACACGTGACTCAGACTGAGCTCTCTGCAAACACACAGGTTTCTGAAGCTCACGTCAAGCACACACGTGACTCAGACTGAGCTCTCTGCAAACACACAGGTTTCTGAAGCTCACGTCAAGCACACACGTGACTCAGACTGAGCTCTCTGCAAACACACAGGTTTCTGAAGCTCACGTCAAGCACACACGTGACTCAGACTGAGCTCTCTGCAAACACACAGGTTTCTGAAGCTCACGTCAAGCACACACGTGACTCAGACTGAGCTCTCTGCAAACACACAGGTTTCTGAAGCTCACGTCAAGCACACACGTGACTCAGACTGAGCTCTCTGCAAACACACAGGTTTCTGAAGCTCACGTCAAGCACACACGTGACTCAGACTGAGCTCTCTGCAAACACACAGGTTTCTGAAGCTCACGTCAAGCACACACATGACTCAGACGTGCTGTGAGAGTACCTTGAGGGCCACAAGGACAGCGTGAGAGCGAGACTTGAGTCCGACGGTGGCCGAGCCCTGCTTCACTGCCTCCATCGCATACTCGATCTGATGAATGCGGCCCTGCACACAGACCCCAGATTAACAACACTTCACCAGCAGCTCCAGACGGCTGAGGAATGAGGCGTGTAGTTACCTGAGGACTCCACACGGTCACATCGTTGTCATACTGGTTACGAAACTGGACACAAATCAACACAGTGACTGAATCAGCATCTGGAACATCTACACTCTATCAAACTCATTCATTCATAGCAGAGAATCTGGTGAAGAAATGCTCCGTTCATCCTTGAGAAAAGAAGTGCACTGAATGTCATGTGCAGTCTACATCTAATCACTGCTCGCTTTCATGACAACCACTAACTTATCTACACTTGTAGAAAGTGCACTTCTGTCAGGTAATGTCAAACTAAACGTTTACTGTAAAGAACATTTTAAATTATTGTTTTAATTATCTGGTCATTCTTCAGATATACTAATTGTTTTGATGAGTTTACTCGCATAATAAAGTTTTAAATAGTGTTTTGTTAAAAATTACTTTTTTTGAATGTGCTACAGTGCAAATACATTTAAAACAATTTAAAACAAATGTGTTTACATACATGACTTACACGCTTCAATAGAAATTACACTGAGGTATATTTGAGTTTTTACCATAAATGTTTGTCAGTAGATTCAACAAACAACTCTTTAAAGTGTGCTAAAATGTACTTTTTTCCCACAAGGGCATATTTCACGAAGAGTAAGACAATAAAGTTAAATAAAGAAAAGCCTATGTTGGGCACACTTTTAGTTCCTGTAATGCGCAAACTCCGCTCCGGACACAATGAGATTGCGTTAATGAATATTAAAACCAGCACGACACACACTGATATACTTCATATTATAACTATCTGTGTACCGTCTGCAGGCTCGAGTGAGTTTAACCTGAACTCTGTCTCTAATGTTAGCTCGAGTGCATCTGCTCAGACTGCAGCATATAACACACAGTCAGAGAGAGATGTTTAATGTGTATCGAGTGAGTTTAACCTGAACTCTGTCTCTAATGTTAGCTCGAGTGCATCTGTTCAGACTGCAGCATATAACACAGTCAGAGAGAGATGTTTAATGTGTATCGAGTGAGTTTAACCTGAACTCTGTCTCTAATGTTAGCTCGAGTGCATCTGCTCAGACTGCAGCATATAACACACAGTCAGAGAGAGATGTTTAATGTGTATCGAGTGAGTTTAACCTGAACTCTGTCTCTAATGTTAGCTCGAGTGCATCTGCTCAGACTGCAGCATATAACACACAGTCAGAGAGAGATGTTTAATGTGTATCGAGTGAGTTTAACCTGAACTCTGTCTCTAATGTTAGCTCGAGTGCATCTGCTCAGACTGCAGCATATAACACACAGTCAGAGAGAGATGTTTAATGTGTATCGAGTGAGTTTAACCTGAACTCTGTCTCTAATGTTAGCTCGAGTGCATCTGCTCAGACTGCAGCATATAACACACAGTCAGAGAGAGATGTTTAATGTGTATCGAGTGAGTTTAACCTGAACTCTGTCTCTAATGTTAGCTCGAGTGCATCTGCTCAGACTGCAGCATATAACACACAGTCAGAGAGAGATGTTTAATGTGTATCGAGTGAGTTTAACCTGAACTCTGTCTCTAATGTTAGCTCGAGTGCATCTGCTCAGACTGCAGCATATAACACACAGTCAGAGAGAGATGTTTAATGTGTATCGAGTGAGTTTAACCTGAACTCTGTCTCTAATGTTAGCTCGAGTGCATCTGCTCAGACTGCAGCATATAACACACAGTCAGAGAGAGATGTTTAATGTGTATCGAGTGAGTTTAACCTGAACTCTGTCTCTAATGTTAGCTCGAGTGCATCTGCTCAGACTGCAGCATATAACACACAGTCAGAGAGAGATGTTTAATGTGTATCGAGTGAGTTTAACCTGAACTCTGTCTCTAATGTTAGCTCGAGTGCATCTGCTCAGACTGCAGCATATAACACACAGTCAGAGAGAGATGTTTAATGTGTATCGAGTGAGTTTAACCTGAACTCTGTCTCTAATGTTAGCTCGAGTGCATCTGCTCAGACTGCAGCATATAACACACAGTCAGAGAGAGATGTTTAATGTGTATCGAGTGAGTTTAACCTGAACTCTGTCTCTAATGTTAGCTCGAGTGCATCTGCTCAGACTGCAGCATATAACACACAGTCAGAGAGAGATGTTTAATGTGTATCGAGTGAGTTTAACCTGAACTCTGTCTCTAATGTTAGCTCGAGTGCATCTGCTCAGACTGCAGCATATAACACACAGTCAGAGAGAGATGTTTAATGTGTATCGAGTGAGTTTAACCTGAACTCTGTCTCTAATGTTAGCTCGAGTGCATCTGCTCAGACTGCAGCATATAACACACAGTCAGAGAGAGATGTTTAATGTGTATCGAGTGAGTTTAACCTGAACTCTGTCTCTAATGTTAGCTCGAGTGCATCTGCTCAGACTGCAGCATATAACACACAGTCAGAGAGAGATGTTTAATGTGTATCGAGTGAGTTTAACCTGAACTCTGTCTCTAATGTTAGCTCGAGTGCATCTGCTCAGACTGCAGCATATAACACACAGTCAGAGAGAGATGTTTAATGTGTATCGAGTGAGTTTAACCTGAACTCTGTCTCTAATGTTAGCTCGAGTGCATCTGCTCAGACTGCAGCATATAACACACAGTCAGAGAGAGATGTTTAATGTGTATCGAGTGAGTTTAACCTGAACTCTGTCTCTAATGTTAGCTCGAGTGCATCTGCTCAGACTGCAGCATATAACACACAGTCAGAGAGAGATGTTTAATGTGTATCGAGTGAGTTTAACCTGAACTCTGTCTCTAATGTTAGCTCGAGTGCATCTGCTCAGACTGCAGCATATAACACACAGTCAGAGAGAGATGTTTAATGTGTATCGAGTGAGTTTAACCTGAACTCTGTCTCTAATGTTAGCTCGAGTGCATCTGCTCAGACTGCAGCATATAACACACAGTCAGAGAGAGATGTTTAATGTGTATCGAGTGAGTTTAACCTGAACTCTGTCTCTAATGTTAGCTCGAGTGCATCTGCTCAGACTGCAGCATATAACACACAGTCAGAGAGAGATGTTTAATGTGTATCGAGTGAGTTTAACCTGAACTCTGTCTCTAATGTTAGCTCGAGTGCATCTGCTCAGACTGCAGCATATAACACACAGTCAGAGAGAGATGTTTAATGTGTATCGAGTGAGTTTAACCTGAACTCTGTCTCTAATGTTAGCTCGAGTGCATCTGCTCAGACTGCAGCATATAACACACAGTCAGAGAGAGATGTTTAATGTGTATCGAGTGAGTTTAACCTGAACTCTGTCTCTAATGTTAGCTCGAGTGCATCTGCTCAGACTGCAGCATATAACACACAGTCAGAGAGAGATGTTTAATGTGTATCGAGTGAGTTTAACCTGAACTCTGTCTCTAATGTTAGCTCGAGTGCATCTGCTCAGACTGCAGCATATAACACACAGTCAGAGAGAGATGTTTAATGTGTATCGAGTGAGTTTAACCTGAACTCTGTCTCTAATGTTAGCTCGAGTGCATCTGCTCAGACTGCAGCATATAACACACAGTCAGAGAGAGATGTTTAATGTGTATCGAGTGAGTTTAACCTGAACTCTGTCTCTAATGTTAGCTCGAGTGCATCTGTTCAGACTGCAGCATATAACACACAGTCAGAGAGAGATGTTTAATGTGTATCGAGTGAGTTTAACCTGAACTCTGTCTCTAATGTTAGCTCGAGTGCATCTGCTCAGACTGCAGCATATAACACACAGTCAGAGAGAGATGTTTAATGTGTATCGAGTGAGTTTAACCTGAACTCTGTCTCTAATGTTAGCTCGAGTGCATCTGCTCAGACTGCAGCATATAACACACAGTCAGAGAGAGATGTTTAATGTGTATCGAGTGAGTTTAACCTGAACTCTGTCTCTAATGTTAGCTCGAGTGCATCTGCTCAGACTGCAGCATATAACACACAGTCAGAGAGAGATGTTTAATGTGTATCGAGTGAGTTTAACCTGAACTCTGTCTCTAATGTTAGCTCGAGTGCATCTGCTCAGACTGCAGCATATAACACACAGTCAGAGAGAGATGTTTAATGTGTATCGAGTGAGTTTAACCTGAACTCTGTCTCTAATGTTAGCTCGAGTGCATCTGCTCAGACTGCAGCATATAACACACAGTCAGAGAGAGATGTTTAATGTGTATCGAGTGAGTTTAACCTGAACTCTGTCTCTAATGTTAGCTCGAGTGCATCTGCTCAGACTGCAGCATATAACACACAGTCAGAGAGAGATGTTTAATGTGTATCGAGTGAGTTTAACCTGAACTCTGTCTCTAATTCTCTAATGTGTGCATCTGCTCAGACTGCAGCATATAACACACAGTCAGAGAGAGATGTTTAATGTGTATCGAGTGAGTTAGTGAGTTTCTCTGTCTCTAATGTTAGCTCGAGTGCATCTGCTCAGACTGCAGCATATAACACACAGTCAGAGAGAGATGTTTAATGTGTATCGAGTGAGTTTAACCTGAACTCTGTCTCTAATGTTAGCTCGAGTGCATCTGCTCAGACTGCAGCATATAACACACAGTCAGAGAGAGATGTTTAATGTGTATCGAGTGAGTTTAACCTGAACTCTGTCTCTAATGTTAGCTCGAGTGCATCTGCTCAGACTGCAGCATATAACACACAGTCAGAGAGAGATGTTTAATGTGTATCGAGTGAGTTTAACCTGAACTCTGTCTCTAATGTTAGCTCGAGTGCATCTGCTCAGACTGCAGCATATAACACACAGTCAGAGAGAGATGTTTAATGTGTATCGAGTGAGTTTAACCTGAACTCTGTCTCTAATGTTAGCTCGAGTGCATCTGCTCAGACTGCAGCATATAACACACAGTCAGAGAGAGATGTTTAATGTGTATCGAGTGAGTTTAACCTGAACTCTGTCTCTAATGTTAGCTCGAGTGCATCTGCTCAGACTGCAGCATATAACACACAGTCAGAGAGAGATGTTTAATGTGTATCGAGTGAGTTTAACCTGAACTCTGTCTCTAATGTTAGCTCGAGTGCATCTGCTCAGACTGCAGCATATAACACACAGTCAGAGAGAGATGTTTAATGTGTATCGAGTGAGTTTAACCTGAACTCTGTCTCTAATGTTAGCTCGAGTGCATCTGCTCAGACTGCAGCATATAACACACAGTCAGAGAGAGATGTTTAATGTGTATCGAGTGAGTTTAACCTGAACTCTGTCTCTAATGTTAGCTCGAGTGCATCTGCTCAGACTGCAGCATATAACACACAGTCAGAGAGAGATGTTTAATGTGTATCGAGTGAGTTTAACCTGAACTCTGTCTCTAATGTTAGCTCGAGTGCATCTGCTCAGACTGCAGCATATAACACACAGTCAGAGAGAGATGTTTAATGTGTATCGAGTGAGTTTAACCTGAACTCTGTCTCTAATGTTAGCTCGAGTGCATCTGCTCAGACTGCAGCATATAACACACAGTCAGAGAGAGATGTTTAATGTGTATCGAGTGAGTTTAACCTGAACTCTGTCTCTAATGTTAGCTCGAGTGCATCTGCTCAGACTGCAGCATATAACACACAGTCAGAGAGCGAGAGAGTTTAACCTGAACTCTGTCTCTAATGTTAGCTCGAGTGCATCTGTTCAGACTGCAGCATATAACACACAGTCAGAGAGAGATGTTTAATGTGTATCGAGTGAGTTCTGCTTACTCACGCTCATCATTCCCGCACTACACCACACAGAGCATCACACTGGCACTGCAAGCACATCCTACACCACTAGAACACACACTGTCCACCAGAAGAGCGCGTGTAGGTTAGAGCGCAATATATGATCATTTCTCACCATATTTGCTGTAAAGCAGGCGACTGTCCACTGAGCGCGATGATTCAGCTCGATTGGTCTTCCTGGGTGTTCCGGAAGGCGGAAGTAATGGAGCGCAGAGCGCGTGCTGCGAGTGCTCTTCAGGCTGCAGCGCCATCTACTGTCTCACCCTCGCTGTTAGTAACCTGGCTATCTTACAGCTCTCTTTGCTTTATTTTTGACCAACATATTTGCCAGCTATTTTGGCGACAGGCCATTATGAGATATATATGTACCACTAAAAGTACATTAAACTTGATTCTGCAAAAAGCAGTAAGCCAGTGTAATGAGTTTTGATTGAGTAACATGTATATCTGTAGCTCCAGCCACTGTTTCAGATGTTTACAGGTAATGATAATGTTCAGTCTCTTGCACAGACCGATCATTGCGCTTCGTATCGTCAGCAGGGGCGGTTCTGGGGGGCGTAGGGGGGCTTGGCCTCTCTAAATTTGGAGTCATATCACACCAAACATCTGTGGGTGAAATGCGCAGTTTGTCCTGTAAACTATGCATATAAAACATCACCAGCAGCAGCTAAACTCAGATCTCGCTGGCTGGCGCAGACGTTTTTAAAGCGCTGCGCATTATAACCAGTCCTGTACTATTGTGTTGAGTTCATGAACACAAGGACCAATCAGAGGCGTTCAGGTGAGTCACCGCCGAAACACTGCTTCGTCAGTCTCTGGCTAATTATCTCATCAGAAACAACAAAGTGAAGATGTGCGAATGTAAGATAGATATTAATTTCACAGTGTAAACAGCTCTAGAGATTATTATGGGAGTTTTGAGAGTGCTTGAATTCGCTGGACTGAAGTGGAAATGTTCTTTGATAATGTAAACGTTATTTGCTCTGTTTTTGCACAATGAAAGTGTTATATGTTAATCATCAGAGGTGGACAATCCAGGGGTCAGAAAGTAAAAGTCCTGCC